CCCGTGGGCTGCAAGCTGCTGCGCTATTCCCATACACCTGTCTCGGCCTTGTCAGACCTGCCAGAAGTCATCTCCTCCCGTCGCGTCTGGGTACAAGTTTCAAACCCTCTTCGCCCAGATCGCGAGCTGTCTGCTGAATCCCGTGAGGTCGTGCGTATGTGGGCTGACCTGGCTGCCTCGCCCTGTCCATTTCGCTCTTTATTTCTCCGTCCGCTGTTTGTTTGCGAGGCCTTCGCAGACGCATGCGCTGACTCATCCCTGGCCGGCCTGGGGGGTTTTGTCCGTCTGCCGGATGGCCGCCAGGCTTGCTTTGCGTGCTCTTTCTCTCCCACACAGCTAGCCGATATGTTTAGCTGGTTCCCGTCCGACACTTCGCCGCAACATTGCATTGCCGTTTGGGAGATGTTAGTTCAGGTTGGACTTCTGTGGACCCTGTCTGTCCTGCTCCCTCCGGGACATGCCCCTTTTCACGTCGTCTTCCGCACTGACAATTCCCCATCGCAGTCAGCTGCCTGGAAGGGATTGTCTCTTGCTCGTGGCATGCGCCAATTCCTCCGTTCCTTTAATGTTCTTCAGGATGCTGTCCGCATTTCTGTGCATCTGGATTCCGTGCCGGGTTTCCTGAATGACGCAGCAGAGATCTTCACCGTCCCCTGGACTTCCTTCCCTGCCTCGCCATCACTCGAATTTGACCCGTCCTCGGACCTCATGTCTGCTTTCGTGGCTGCCGAGCTCAACTTTCTGATGGCCCTGTTCCCCTCTGGGTCGAGCTCCCTGCTCAATTGCCTTTGGATTCCCGGGCATCAGAAATGTTCGTAGCTATCAGATCCAGGTCCGGTACATCCGTCCGATCTGCGATCTGTCTGCAGCTCGCTTTCTTGCCACTCGCGACAAAAGGTGCGCCTGCATTCCTGTCCGTAGGTAGCACAACTTTTGTCCGCCTTAATGCTATGCGTAACGGACTAGTCTAGCACGAACTTTCTTGAGTTTAATCAGTGATGTTTGTGCACTGACGCAACGGCAAGCATGCTATCCTAGCATCTTGGCTCGCAGGCAGAACATAGCGCAGCATCAGCATTTGGATTTTTCCCACCGTCCTTCCCCTGTCTCCACCGTCTGCCTTGCTCTTTTGCCTCCTACGTTGCTCCGCGTGATCCATTGGACTTGGTCCGCGTTGAGCGCGCAGTCCTAGCCTTCCGCCTCCCGTGATCCACTGGATTTGGTCCGGGCTGGCCCGTCTGCTCCGGGTGATCCACTGGTCTTGGTCCCCGTCGAGCCCAGCATGCATTTGTTTCTCCCGGTGATCCCCTGGATTTGGTCCCGGTTGAGTCTGTTCTAGGTAGCTCCATAGCTCCAATTAGGGTAGTCTTTTTCTTCTGCTTGCCCTTTCCGTCCGTTAGAGCGGATTCCCGGGCATCAGAAATGTTCATAGCTATCAGATCCAGGTCCGGTACATCCGTCCGATCTGCGATCTGTCTGCAGCTCGCTTTCTTGCCACTCGTGACAAAAGGTGTGCCTGCATTCCTGTCCGTAGGTAGCACAACTTTTGTCCGCCTTAATGCTATGCGTAACGGACTAGTCTAGCACGAACCCTGCCGCAGCCATGGAATGTTTGGCTGGCATCGTTTCACGATCCTGTGCAAGGCTGGCCGTCGGCTGCCCTGATGGTAAAGTTTAGTTGAGACATGTCGTATCTGTACAGGATCCGAGGCAACCTACTCCGAACTTGCCGCGATACTCCTCAGTTCGGGCAGGAGGGATCAAGCAGTCGATATCTCCTCCGAAGTCATGGCCAT